GGCTTACATTACCTCGGATCCTACATTTATCAAACGACCAGAGATACAATGCAGGCATGTATTGTGAACGAAAGTCAATTATCACGAAACCAAGGTCAAAGAGGACTTCCAATTGATTACCATCAACCATCCGATTTGAAAACATAAGGTCATTTAACTAAAAGAAACCAATATATGGATAAACTAGTTGATGATAACTGAAAACTAGGAATTTTGTGTTAGTCGACAAGTAAAGGTTGTGACAAGTTGCCTTACTCATTACTTGTTTAGAATATTTTTTTCATGGGATCCTATATTCAGTAAGTTTTTATTGACAATTCATGAATCAATAACGCTCACTTGACTACCTGTCATAACCCACTACTTAGTTATTTAACTGTGAGGTGCAGAGGACTCTTGATGTTTGTAACACACTAGGATTTCATTGTAAACAGAATAACATTTTTAGACGGGGCATATACTTCCACAACGGTTAGTTAGCATAATTAGGTCATCTGAAATTGTAGTGATGGTGTATCAGATCTTTTAATTTAAGTGCATTTCCGATTGGTCTCTACTTGGTAGAAAACTAGTGATATTTGGGAACGAATTCTCTGGTTTCCAAATCAAAGTAATCGATTAGAAAACTAAGACATTGGTAATAACTAGTACATCGCTTCTCCACACTAAGTAGGAAGTTTAGGATTATTCAGCCTCGGATTAAACTGAAATTCTACCAAGCCTTCTGCTAAGATTACTATCGGGAAATTTTCCTCGTCCCATATATGAAGTTCATTTCACACTAAGGCAGTATCTATAGTCTCGACTTGTAACGTGGATTTAGGTTCCTAGAGGATAACCAGATCAAGTTATGGTTGAACCATGACTGATCTAGAATTAAAACGGATGTAGTTCGAAATCCCAATGTTCAAGCTATAAATGCCTACATTGCACTCATGATTCCATTTTGGGGACCTGTGTGATTCGTAATTTCTACTATAAGATGCAAGCATGGGGAAGCATTACTCTCTCCACACCTTACACGTCACCGTCCATGATATGCAATATGTTAATGCACGTCCCTACCTTAGCTTTATTTTTCAATGTAAAGACAAATCATGAAAGATTATTACATCCCCAAGATTCTTCACCTTTCAAGTTATGTAACATTTTAGGAGCTTTATTCAATGGATTATTTCCACTAATCTTGTTTTCAGTTTATATTTTCTCATCTCTCTTAAAGTGGTACACCAGGATTGTATACAGCGACGTTTTGAACAACACAATCATAATAATTCATTAAGCCAAATTGTTTATACATATCATCAGAGGAGTGACTTTATTCTAAGCCATAATGATTGTTTTGCTTATCTATAAAACCAGTTTTTCCAAACACAATATAGTCGAGTTAATTACCGGAATAGATAATACGTGTTCAAGGCAATATGTATTCTAAGATACATTTGATTCACCTTGAATTTTTGATAAACAAACATGTAATATTGACGAATTAGAAAGCAATGGGAGGCTTATACGATTTAACTTAGGGGAGAAAATTTTGAACATTAATATTCAATCATTAGAAGTACAAAGACATATCCTAACAAATACATTGGCCCATGAACCAATCGAAATATTTGTCCAGAAAGACAACTTATTAGATTAACCTATCACAAGACGAATTTTGTAAATAATTCGTTTATTTAGCCTAACTTGACGTTTATTGGCTAATCGTAGACCGGTCGATACTCTCTGCCTTGAAGTAAAATACTGAAGTTGAATTAGTGTTTTAATGCCTCAGTCTCATGGTCCGATTCGTCGGGTCTGTATTCACCTTGTGCCCGTCAATTTTCAGGCCGCCCGCTCCTGTCGACCGCCTTGTGCCGAGCTGTCACGCGCCAAGGTAACAAAGTAAGCATTTTGACTTTGTGCTGGCCTTGTGTTTATTGACGAGTTTTTAGGTCTCGTGCTTATTGCGGCACAAGAGACTTAGGCCATTGTTTTTGATTTATATTGGATATTTTGTATTTTTGCAATTTACAATCAATGTATGCGAAAAGAATATTCTTGTGTATTGGATATGCTAGTTTAATTTTCAAATTTATCATGGTTTGGATGGTTATGTATTCCGTGCTTAACTATAATCCGTATATTTTCACTCAACTGATTGAGTTTCGAAATATGTATTGTAAGTGATTTCAAAACAAGATTTATTCTACCTACCAATTGATGCGGAAAGTAAATGTAAACGACTCGTCGGTGTAAAAATCAGTTTCCCTACGAAATGCCGGTGTAGCGTAATGTTCGCGGAATTTTCTTACATAATCATGGATACTGTGCACAGCTCACTTACATCACAATTTTACAGATAAACAATTTGTGGCTATGGAATGTTAGTTTATATTTTGTGCGAAGATATCATGTGACCTCTGTTGATACTATAATCCGTGTATGCAGTATGCATCTCACGCAGCTGTTTGTATCCAAGAGAATATATGATGAAGTTTTTGAAATTCTGGGAATTATTCAAATTTGGAAATCCTACCTTGTTTTTTAACTATGACTGCTTCCCATTGAACATTTGATTTGTCCTACTTATTGATTGATTGAAAATAAAGATAGTGAAATAAACTTCATTTGCTACATAGTGTCCTATTAATTGCTAACACCACAACAATATTGTGTTAGCCGTCATGTGCCATATATTTTAGTAAATCTTCGCTTATTAAATTGTTGGTGACCTTCGATCAATGCATTCCTATCCGTATGCTTATCAAGTAATGCAACCTACTTAGGCCCGTTGTCGGCTATTTTCTTAGTTTACCAGGTTTTTTTTTAGAGTCAAGTAAGAGTCAGGTCTAATCAATTACTGAACGCCACAATACACTTGCTTGAACAAAGGGTTTAAAAACAGGATTATAGTCCATACAGTAATCTCGTTCGCGTCCATCTAGATATACTCGCGAATATGATTAAATGTTCTACTCTAATGTACCAAGTTGGTGTTTCCAGTTAGTTTTGAAGCTAAAAATGGCGTAATTAATTTTTGTATGAGTTATCTCATATGTAATCCTTTTTACTACATTTTGTCTTTGCGTTCTTGGCTTTTTATTAACTGGCAGTTTCGTTTGCACTTCGAAAGCAACAAGTGTCTGTCTTTGTACATTTAGCTACCTTGCCTAACAGGTATTCAGCTCCTGCCTGAATTCATACTCTTTACATGTACTTATTCCATTTTCCGGTGTAAAATGAATCAACTTTGACCCAAGAACCAGTAGGTGCTTCACATTTTATTGAACGATTGAGGCATATGGATTTAGAACGGTTTCTATTAGGTTTCCCACTTCTGATAGCTTTTGAATAATATATGACAATGTAAGCTGTCCTTGTAGGATTATCTTACATTCGACAGTCATCAAACATGCAACACAATGTTTTAATTACAGGTTAAATTGGCAGTGCTACATAGTTTCCCAAATTGTTAAACCTTGTGTGAATGATTACTTGGGCAAGTGTGAAGATGTGTCGTGGTTCGTAAAGTTATGTTATAGCTCGTTAGTTGTCAGGGAAGTAAGTGCTCCATATGTCGGCTGTTAACTGCAGTAGCTAGTTATTAACATAATGGACATTGAAGCAGTGGATCGAAAACTAGTTTTACTCCGGTTTGTGTATCCAAATAATATTACTGACCCTCACACTACCCATTCCTGAAAACAGGTGACGCTAGCCACATGGTCACTGACGCACTGTAGTTGTTAAATTTACGACCAATCATGTGGATGGGAAATATCACAATTTGGTTATTTAATCTGAATAAGCTCAGAAACACTAATGCCCACTATTCTCCTGACATGTGTGTCAGATCAAACAAATAATTCTCGGAAAAACTTTCCAATAAAGATGAGTGAGAATATTATCCAATTGTCAAGACACTGAAGATATCCATGTTTCATCCTACAGAAAATGATTTTTTCCCCACAATGTAAATTTTGATATACCAGACAGTTGATTAGCTTATTTTAATTAAGAATAAAAATATTGTTACAACTCAGCCATTCAAAGGAAGAATAACGCATCTGAGGAATCTTACTCTACACACTATACAGCATAGGATGCAATACTGACTATTCATCTTAGATGCAAACAGTAGGTTAGAAATCGCATTTCACAACTGATTATATCCTTATTTAAAGAACAGAGAAACGGTCAATATCTCATTCTGTTGTTCTGGACCACATTGCATGTCGGTCTTTTTAACATGGCATAAGGCGTAAGTGATGAAACAATGCTTGCGAAGTGGGACTCAGGTGTGGCCCAAAGCACTTAGTTCTCAAGTCAATATGCTAGTTTATTGATGTGTTATAACGAGAACGGGTGGTTTACATCTATACGGTTCGTATTTTTGTAATCAGGTGATATAATACACATTGTCTTTCGCGATATGTAGATAGTTGAAGTATACCTAAATTGTAGTACAGTACGGCAAACTACTAATTAAATTTAATACTTTAGTAATGTCTGCTTCCGTCCAGAAATTACGACACTGAGTGCTGGTTACCGATCAGACTACTAGTTTCGCGTATTTTTAAAATCATGGGTGTCACGGGTTCTCTTTTTCTGTACATTAGCTCCAAAAATTAAGTCTTGTGTCATGTTTTCTAGCCACTCCGTAAATTTGATTCAGATAAGGTACTAAAACGTTGGTTTATATCAGCTTTTTTTACCAATGCATTCCGAACCGTTACTTGTAAACCTATGAACCCCACGAAATTGTTGGTCTGTACGTACTTGTTAAATGACCACTGTACCCCGATGTTAAGTCCACAATTTGTTATGGATAATTTATTAATGAAATCAACATTCGCTGTCCTAATCAGCGTTAACATCATTTAATTTCGCAACCTCTAGTGGTGTCCGACAAGGCTGTCCGCTATCTCCATTTTTGTTCAATTTCATCATAGACCTAGTGCCAGAAATAACGTTCTCGTCGACTGCATTTTCAGAAGTTGATCTACCAAGAGGTCACTTATCGATTTGGAATACTCAGATGATATAGTCCTGTTTGGTGAAGACGCTGATAAAATGCAGTCTTTTGGTAGCACTGAGCAACAATGCCAGGATGTTTGGGATGCGTTTCTTCCCCTCTAGATGCAAGTTGTTGCTCCAGGACTGGCCTGCGTCAACACCTAAACTAAGGAAGTCTGATCAGCCCCAATGGGTTGGTATCTGATGAAATCTCTGCACGGATTTAGAAAGTTGGGTTGGCTTTCGTCAACTTACGTCACCTATGGCGAAGGCTGCGCAGCAGTTCGTTCTGTTCTACTTTACAGCTGCGAAACGTGGGCATTAAGGGTAGAAGATACTCGTATTTGATCACAGATGTTCTATAGATATTGCTCGCATCTGTTGGGATCACCGGGTAAGTAGTACTGAGGTGAAACTCAGGGTATTAGGGAATGATGGTAAATCAGTTGATGAGGTTGTGAATCTTCATCGACTGAGATGGTTGGGCCACGTGTCACGTATGCCTGAACACCGATTACCACGACGCGCAATGCTGTCTAGTGTTGGGAATGGTTGGAAGAAAGTTAAGGGTGGCCAAACCAAAACGTGGTATCAGTCCTTGAAATGACTAAATTCTAGTCTGAGCCATGTTGTTAGATGCAGACTACTTGGTTGGGGTCCGTGTGACTATCGTAACCAATGGTTGGAGACTGTGGGTGATATGTCTGAGAATCGATCACAATAGCGTAGGTGTATACACTCTCTGTCTTCCCTTAAACCATGAGATTAGAATTGCTGTGTGCCTTTCTTTCTGGGAGCTAATTCTTTCTTCCTGTATTATATGCTTATACACAATCTTTCTTTTATATATTACTATCGTTGAAGTAACTACTTCTATGAATTCGGTGTTGATCTTGTTGTGTTAATGAGGTGTGGCAACTTGGACTGGTGCATATATGTGCCTGGTCCTACGTTGTAACCGACTGATTAACATCACGTAAATCATTGCAACTGTGCATACTATCGTGCTATCGTAGCAGTTGTTTTACTAATAATTTGAATCTGAATTTCAATTAATACGTGTAAATACTTGTCCACAAACGTAAGTTAACCTTAAATAAGCAAACACGTGAATCATATCCCAAGTCAAGATTTAGTGCGACTCAATGTTGCATTGTTATCGAGTTCATTCGAGCTGTTGTCAGACTGAAAGTAAATTTTTAACCTAAAGATTATAATTAGCTGTCGACAAAACGAAACAGCTACCAAAATAAACTTTGGTCGAAACGTTTTTAAATCCTCAACATGAGACAATTCATCATTAAACAGTAAGAGTTGATAACTCCTCAGGTAGAGTTTTGGAATTTCGCCAATGTACCTTATGTCGGGAATTAAAAGTGTTTCCGGACATCATTCTCCATGAATTTAGTTTAGTATGTGTTATTGCTAAAATTATCCCAAATCATCTCTTTCCTGCAGGTTTTTAAATATATTTAACAATGATCTTACATCTTACATGAAGTCCGATGGCAAATAGTTCTCGTATATTTTTGGTATTTGTCCCCTTTATAGTCTATACTTTCTGAAGCTGTTTGCTAGTTATATTTTGTAGATGCCCTCAAACAACCTTTCACGCTTTAACGTTATATTTTGGCAGTGTGAAGGCGAGGTTTTGTTTTCGGCTGGTTGTGCTTGGGCTTCAGCGTCGTTAAATATGAGTATATGTAACTGGGATATCGTTGACGTCAATTAATCAATAGCTTAATTCATGTATATAATTCTCAACGTTAGTAAATTACTAAGTCCTTTATTCTGTTTCTAACAGTTCTCAGTTTTAAACTTCCACACGTTGCTTTTCACAGTTGAGAACTATAAACTATTTAACGCACTCGTACCCCATTAAACTATGGTCATTTATGATATCTTGACTGCTAACCAGTGACTGGTACCGAGTCGTTTTTTTACGTTCTTAAGTGATGCTAAATTCCTTGAATAGACGCTATTCATAAATTTACGGCGATGCATATTTGCTAATGAGTTTATTCGTGTTTGGTAGGCTCTTCGACAATCATTCCATCTTTTAGATCTTATTTCAAAAATAAGTCAATTCAGTGATGCAATTCAACAGTATCCAACTTTTGTTTAGCCACTTGTCAGATGGTTTTTTCCGGCTCAACTGCTAAATCCACTTGTTAAAAATTTTCATTAGTGCTGTACTTGTTTTCATATATAATTTCTCGGTCATGTATGCCATGGGTTAACACTGTTCGGAATGTTATATGATGACACATTAAAGTGGATTCTATTTTCATAAAGGTAGGGATAAGAGTAAATGAATAAGCTATTGTCAAATTTCCCAATTATATACAACATTTCGAATAAGTTGCTGGCTTATGATTCCAATATTTTGAGTATATAATTAAGAAGAGCAGAAGGACTGTGAACATTCTTATCAACTTTGAACGGATAATCAATACTTGTCTCGTCGGCGATCTTGAGTTGTCACAAAATAACTATGGAGTTCGAAGATCACCAAATGAGTCGTTACAAGACTACTGGATTGTATCGTTTTTACCTGTTTGTTCACTGAGCAGTAATCTGCTCTGCTTTGCTCTACGGCTGTGAAATATGCCCAATTAAGGTTGAAGACATACGTAGTATATGTTCATCGGTGTCTTTAAAGCATATCGTCAAAAAGCCGAGTAGGAAACGTTATGGTAACATCTAGGGAGGTGATAAGTCTATCGATAGCACTGCTGATCTTCACCAGTCGAGGTGGTTGTGGTTGCTTCATGTCTACTCATCTGTCGCTTACTTAGACGTGGTAGCATACAAGTGGGTAGAAACTGGTTAGGTGTAACAATATAACATCATGTGCAGGAAGTCTTCTTTTAAGAAATTCAAAGTAATTAGTCCCTTTCATAAATTTCGATGGTGTAATAAGAAGATGAAGATTATCACATAGTTCTGATAATCTTCGTCTTCTTATTACACTATCGAAATATAACATCAGTTTATGAAGTCGTTGTTTGTTGAATTCAACTGTGGTTTCAACTTGAATTCATTGATGTATTGTCAACTACCTTATTTAATGGTAACCGGAAATATGAAGTTTAGCAAAGTCATCTCACTATAGCGAGTTTATATTATTTCGCTTGTTTCTAACATCCTGCAATGTAAATGACAAATTAATGATCTTGCCAAATAGTTCTTTGCTATATAATCGTTGATAACCAAACACCTATCCATTGCTTTAAAGACTCGTAAATAAGTAACTGATCTCGGGAATTATTTTTACACCTTGGAATGATTCATACTTATAATTGGACTTAGAAATCACATACATATAAACCCAGTAAGAACTAGAGTTGTATTCGGAAGTCCAACAAATTGGAAAGGCAATTAATACAATCTATAAAATGTACACTAATATGTGTACAACCAGTATTAATTATAGCAATATGTATTAAAATAGTTGATATGATAACATTCAATGTTTCTGATTTTTCGTAGTCTTAACATGTTCAAACTGGTTTTGTAATTTTATCATGATTTTATCTTGTTAATTAGATAGTTAGCCTATAATTATTTACTGCTAAATCAGCTTAAATGTTTTATTGACAGCAGTTATGAACATCTATAACTACATGGTGTATACCAGTTCGGTATTGTGATGAACTGCGAAATCATAGTATTTACTTTTCAGTATACAGACCTTTTAAGTCATTACTTGGTATTTGTGATGTTTATAATATATATTTGAACTGAAGTGAAATCTTGAAAAAGCAATTCGGAAAGTTTTACCTCTAAGCTTTTTTTATGACAGATTTAAAACATTTAATATCTCTACAATTTCAGTAGTAAACTGTTGTATAATCTGAAGGGCATCTGCACTATTTAAGTTTAAGCCATATTTCAAATGGTTGTAAAGCTGCGGAAATGTATTTGTATCAAACACACATAACAATGTAATTAGATTTAGTATTTGGTGTGTTCAATCATTTGGATTGACTTAGAACTAACTCTAACACTGAATACACATTATTAGATTTCATGATAGTACACATTGATTCATTTAAAATTCATCATGATTGAGATGTGTAAATAAATCAATATCGAAGTATTGGAAGTAGAGAGGAAGCAAGTATAAGTAAAGTAGTAAGCTTAGGTAACAGTATGAAAATCAAGTGCCAAGATCTTTTATCCATGGCTAAGTAATCATCAGTCTGTTTCCCTATATGTATTATTAAAGTATTTGTGTACAACATTGAATAGCCGGTTTAAATCTCAGTCCCTGTCGTTCGATCAACTTGGATGATATCACCAGACTTCAGACAAAATATTTGTAGCCCAAAGTCAGATACACAGATGACTAATTCTACTGATTAAGCGTTCGCCATGTGACCTCAATTTCTAGGGTTCGCTCCTTAATCTGGTTGCTGTGGTTGAGAAGTATGTATAGTGAATCGATTTGATCAATTATTCTTCAAGCATTGTATGTAATATTTAATTTGTTTTATGTCATTTATGCTTTTTTAATTTTCATATCAGTTTTGTGGATCGAAATGGATATAAGTTTGTCAGATAATATAATGACGTCAGAATTAGATGATCAACTAGTCAGCATTTCTAATCATTATTCCCATTCCAACAGTACTGTATCTACACATGTCAGTGATTGCAATGATTTCACCGGAACAACATATTTTACTACTAATGTTTTAGGTAATGTTATCACACACAACTTACAACATGTAGATAATTTACAAAGTGATTGTAATAATAGTGTTTTACTCGATGAGCAAGATGTTGATCACAATATTGGCGTCGGTAGTGATAATGATGTTGTTGGTGACGACAATGACGATAATTTATTTGATGATTTATCCGCTGCAATCGAGGCAATCAATGAAGCGAATCGTTTAAACTCTGCATGTGATAATGATATTGATGAAATTGATGGAGTTTGCTGTGATGATTATGAGAGAGGAGTTGTAGTCTCTAATGTTATGTCATCATCATCAGCAGTACAACAGTTACAATCACTGAGAAATAATGTCCCAGCTATCACAACTTTCCACTCAATATCGTCATCATCATCACCATGCCATTTTGTGACACATCCATTATTTGCAAATATTCCTATCACAACTACAACCGCAATTGGTACTGCCACTACAAATCAATTGACTTTGTTTAAATGTGATACTGCCGATCAGAAAGTTGAAGAAG